GCATCTAGGTCTGCGTTCAAAAGTTCAAGCTCATTGACATAGATGATCATTTTGAGGACGTGGTCCCCAACAGAAGATCCCACAGTCATTTTGGTCTGGAAAAAATTCCTAGACGCCGTGTACTTCATTTGTCATGGTTGTTCGCCATACAGTTCTTCTGTATTATGAAATATGGATCTGACATCCATATTCTCATGTTGCCTCTGATGGACCAAATCCATAGAGGAGATTGTGAGATATTGAGCAAGTGAACAATCTTTATCCCACTTTATGCGGATTTCATTATCCGCTACAGTGGGTTCTGGGCCTAGAACGGGTTCTGGCGTTGTGAGGACATATGCTACTTTGTCATAAGTTAGGGCAATTTTAATATTCATCAACCAATCTTTGTAGTTAGGACTGGTTAACTTGTTATGTTCTAGTATGAGTTTTAAGCCAGACATAATGGCCTGAAAGAGAGGGAAAAAAATATTTTAGCAAATGTTTAATACATAAAATAGATTTGGTTCATTTTTATCTAAGTTATGCCTCCCACTATTTTTCGAGTCCCATAAAATAGATTTGGTTCATTTTTATCTAAGTTATGCCTCCCACTATTTTTCGAGTCCCTCAAAACCTTTATAAGAGGTGATCTCATTTTTATCTAAGTTATGCCTCCCACTATTTTTCGAGTCCCTCAAAACCTTTATAAGAGGTGATCGGTAAACAACCCCTTGTTTTCAAGTAGGATCAAGATCCAATTATCATTGAATGTATCAACCTTGACGATGGCCAATAAATCGATATACTCAATAATTAGTAGACAATTTTTGTCTTTTACATTCTTGTAATTCTTGATATGATTTCGCCCCTAGTCTTTTATGACCTTGACGATGGCCAACAAATCATAAAATGCTAGTTAAGTTTGGACCCATCATTTCTTGACTGGCTTAAATTTAACTTATCCATACTCTTGACGAAGGCCAACAAAGTTGCATAACCAACTTAAGCTATCCTTATATCTTATATACAGATGAATACTACTTAACAATAGAATAGTATTGCCTTGACGATAGCCAACAAACAAAATATTTATAAACTTAGTAGTATTCAACTGAAATGATGGAGGGCTACGAACGATTTCATAAATCTTTTACCGTAATCAAACTTGATATAGTTTAAAGATACTCTATATTTATACTTACAACAATTAAACTAGTCAGGTAAGTACAAGATTGGTGGGAGGGTTCCGAGATATTCACTGGGAATATTCATTAGATCTTAATTAAGTAACCACCGCTCTTTAAGACTATAGCGCGAAAGATTGGGCATCACCCCTAATCTTAAGTTGGGCATCACCCCATGAGCTATATCTCATAATTACTTTTCTAGACACTAGTTAAAAGTTTGTCCTAAATACATCTCTTTTAACTGCTTTAGGTTTATTTATCTTCCACACTAACGCTATGTTAATGTCGGTCTCACCACTCTATGGTCAATAAACTCTTATTGCCATGTCTCACAAAGTTTAAAAATGAGTTTTTATAATAAAAACTATTCTCTAGTGAGATAGAGATATAAACTTTACAAAATAAGAGTTTAACATCTACAATTGTATTAACATCTACAATTGGGGCACAACCAACATATGTAATAGCAATATGGAATGGTAGTGGACAGCTAAAGGAATAAAATACAACTACACTAATTACATTTTGGCAAGCAATTTGCAACTCCTTGCAGTGCTAGCTCCCTTGAAAATCATGTATTATTACAATCATATATACATAGGACGTGCAATCCCCATTTATAATGGAAAAACCATCTCGTAGGATGGGTAATAATATTGCATTAAATGTAAAATAAAAACCATAAATGAATTAACTAAACAAAACAACCATACCCGCCCACACCCGAACAAGGGCCTATACCCGTAGGTGTTGCCCATGATCGATGAGCAAGTGCCTAAACCCGTAGGTGTAGCCCATGCTCGGGGAGGGAAGATGTCAAAAATAATATTACATTTCTAGCTATATTACATTAATACAATAAATACAAGAGAATCGTTGTCCACTATCATCCATAAACATAGCATCCACGCAAGATGATATAAAACATATAACTTAATCAACATTAAGAAATATGCATCTATCTAGTTATGCAACAAATTGGAAAACTAGATAACATAGGGATTATCCTAACTCAAATAGGACTATCATGCTTCTAACATACAACTACGCTAGTTGTAAAAAAGTGTTTTGTAATTTATACAAGTGTTTTTACTCCTAAAAACTTATGAACCAAAAATCACATTTTTGAATCAACAACTAGTATAACTAATGACAAAACAACTTGATTAAATTAACTAGTTTCACTAAAACATCTTTTAATTAACTAGTAATTAGAAGCAAGTATAAAGACCTCTATTAGTTAGATATTCATGTTAAGATTTAATTAGATGGAACTATGGCTCTGATACCATGAAGGAAATTCATGCTAATTACATGCAAATTACACAACGGAAGACTATATGTATAATTATACTAAGCATGTAGAGAGCATGAAATACAAAATAGGACCATCCTAATTAAATCTAACATGATCCATATATTAAAGAGAGCACACAAGAGTTAGAAAGTTATACTTTCGAAGCGTGATTCGATGTAAGATCGAATAACCCCTAGCTCTTGCTCATTGTAGTAGTAAATCTCCTCGTAGTGGATCTCCAAGTCTTTAAGTGACCTTGATAAAATCGGAGTCTTCTTGAGACACAAGGTAAGATATCCACACCGGGGTACTTTAAAATCCTACTACTTTCTCTTGCTCAAAGATTGATAGAGTTTAGTAAGAGGAGAGCTCTCTTTTATTCTCTTATGGAAAAAACCACTTAGCCAATCTTTCATTAACCTTTCCATAAGAAAGAGAGCTCATATATATAGAGTGAAATATGTCATGACTCATCTCATGAGTCATGCCATGAGTCATATAAATGTAATGATTCCTTTCATGAATCATGCAATGAATCATCTCATGAGTCATGCAAAGAGTCATGAAGAATCAAAACTATGTGCTAAAACCATGTTCCCAAACCATACCACCTTAATGACTCATCTCATGACTCATTAATCAAGGTATAATAAAGTGTGTATTTCATAAATAAAAATACAACATCAATACAGTATTTCGTAAATACAGTATTTCATAATTTTTCAATCACTGATTAATAAGTCATCATATGACCAAAAAATCAACGAGTTGACCAAAAGTCAACTAGTTGACTAAAAGTTAATTTTATAGGAAAAATACTGGAATTCATTTTCTAAGCACATAACATTCTGATTTTACCGATATGCATAACCGTTTATGTGTATCCGGTAAAATCATATATGTGTATCAATCATACGCATCACTCTATAAATTGTGTTTCATAGGATTCAAGTACGCGCTTGGTGTGACTCTAGGGCCCAACTTAAGAACTCGGTAGTGGATGATATCCACAAGTACAACAGAGGTGCTAGCTACACATGAAGACTACCTGGGTATAAGTTGTGATAAATGTCTGCAAGATACTAACACAATTTTATCAGGACCACTCAGTGATAATATTGTACAGTCCGGTCTCTTTGTCAAACCATGTCAAACTATCGAGCCTAGGGTATGGAAAATTATCAAACCTTAATAGCTCGATTAGTGTTTGTTGATATTAAACTCATAACCTATAAGATCAAACTGACACTCAGTTTATCTTATTTACCTCGGCCAAGGATATTCTGGCTATAGTTATATCAAACAATCTTATGACATCAAGCCCTTATACTGGGAGAGACGAATCCCATCTTGGCATCTCAATATCTACTTATGTCTCGGGATATACCCAACAAGAGCCGTTATGCACAACTCATTAAGAACTGTGGTTAGGTAAAAGTCTAAGTACACCTATACTGACATGTAAGATATTACACTCATGCCTCAGGTCAAGAGACTACTTATGTACTGTATCACTTGAGAACTTCTATTTGACAGTTAAGTATAATTACCAACTAGATGTTCTCAGTGAGTCGTTCAGTCAACTCATTCACTAATGAGTCACATGTATATTATATCATGATGTCTCACATCAATGATCCAAGAGATGGATCATCTTCATACCAAAGGAGAAATAGAGTATGCACTAGTCTTCCCAAAGTGATAATGTCCCATTTCAACACTTCATCGACTAGGAACATTTAAGAATATACGTTAACGATAAATCAGATCTCTTCATTACGATTATATCTGAAATGTCTGATAGTCTAGTATCATTCTAAGGACTATATCTGTATTTAAAAAATACCAGATAAATACTGACCAAAATAGCATACTATCATTTTGAACAAGGATGTTATATTCATATAGATCCTGTTACAATATATAATTATTGCCTGCAGGACACCTATATCTAACAGGATCTATATAAATTCTTTATTCTTGCATTAGCGAGAAAAAAAGATCTCTCTAAATCTTCTAGAATCAACTTTATCTTTTTTAAGGGGTTTTTCCATATTAGTCAAGCACTTCTTTCATATTTTGAGATTAATCCCTCAAATCTTCATATTTTTACATTAATCTCATCAATCTTAAGTACTTTTGAAATTAATTCTTCAAATCTTCATATTTTGAAATTAGTACCCCAAATATCTTAATTATTTTGACATTAAGCCCCCAAAATATTTTAACCCGGCGCCAATTAGAGGGACTAATTTCAAAATACTTATTTTGGGGATTAATTTCGATATATGAAGATTTGGAGGTCTAATTTCAAAACATTTAATAAAGATTGGGGGGATTAATTTCAAAATATAAATAATTAGGGGAATGATTTCAAAATATGAAAGATGTTGAGGACTAATATCATATAAAAAAAACTTTTTTTTTATAACTCGACCCGTAAACAAAACAAAAGGAAACAAAAACCTAGCGTTTTCCGCTCTTTTATTCTCCAGTCTGCCAAACGCAAGCCAAAGTTACGCTAGACGACGGCCACACTAATCAGAGCATACAAAACCTACACCCGCACCCTCAACTCACTAGGGACCCACAAGGCAGTCATACAGTCAAAATTCCCAGACTTCCATTTTACGTGTGTTTTTCCGCAAAGAAAATATCACGCGGTCTTCGTCCTGTTCTTAAAAACCCTCAACCCCCTCTTCGTCGCTTTTCTTCTCTACACGAAACCGGGAAAGAGCGGCGCGATCAAATCCTTTATACCATTCTCTCTCCGATCTATCGAGTTAGTTCTTAAAACCCTAATTTTCTCAATTAATTGTTCTTTTTTTTTATTGATTTCTGATTCATTTGTTCTTGATTGGATTAGAAGTAGGGTAAAAAGTTTAGTTCTTTAGGGTTTCTGTGATTAGGTTGATCGCTGTTGGCTCAGATCTTTGTTTTCTCTTGTTTATTTAGTTATTGTGATTGTAATTGTATTGGACAGAGTAAAAGTTTGGATCTTTAGGTGAATGCTGTGTTTATTCTCTATGATCTGAATCAATTGTTGGCGGTTCTTGATTTGGGTTGGATCATAACACTGGATGTAGTTTTTTTTTTCTCTTCATATTTTCCATGTTGAATTGGTTGACGCTAGTTATTTATTTCCAATTTATTAATTTTTACTGGCTTATTGGCGCTATCCTAGATACGCCTAATGAACTGTTGTAATCTAGGGGTTGCATATTTTTGTTTTTTACATTCAACGATCCTTGTCAAACTTTGGATTCTGCGAAATTGAGTATAGTTCTATCATGGATAATCAGTATTATTCACTAAAAAACTTGGGATTTAAAAGAGGAGGGTTTCACCTCACCGATGCAAAATCCTTGATAAAGACTTGTTCCTATCCCTTAATTTATATAAATTCGTCACCGAACTGAATTGTCTTTACGTTCCTTTTCTACAATTTTTTTCTTAAGTTGTCCCTACCTTTGTTTAATAGCATTTTCACTTTTTAGGATTTTCTATTTTGTTTACTTGATCCTGGTGACTAACGTTAAATTTTGGATAAATTCTCTGATTCTTGCTCTAAAGAATGGCTTTTCCCCCCAGGAATCGGCTTCTGCTGCAGATGTCTTTTGAGACCAGTAAGGATTTCCCTCCATGGTTGCTTTGGCGTGACTTTTGGAGCACATGTCGTAGCCGATTGTGGTTTTCTTGCCGAACTTTGTTTCGGGATTGGACTTGACAAACATTAGAATCTGCTGTGACTGTAGGTCACAATTTCTGTGTAGTTTTTATTTCCAGCATTCACAAAAAAAAAGAGAAAAAACAGTAGAAATTAGAAGGTTTTGAAAATTTTCTTGTAATTCAAGGTCTCCTTGTTGTCGTCGAGCCAAGCCAGCTCTACTTCTTTGTAGTAGAGAAGAAGATTCTGTGACATATTATGATGGCTAAGACTTCTCTGCCACCTGGTTTTCGTTTCCATCCGACTGATGTTGAGCTGGTTTGGTACTACTTGAAGCGGAAAATAATGGGAAAGCCTTTCCGGTTTGAGGCTATTTCAGTGGTTGAGCTGTACAAATTTGCTCCCTGGGATCTTCCTGGTAAATTTACTCTACCATTTACTCTTTACTTTGGCTGCTACCCTAGTAAGTGTTCATCTTGCCTTTATATTTTCTGTTTCTCTTTTGCATGTGTATTTAAAAAAAAAGTTGAGGTAACTAGTTAATGAAAATTCTTTTGGTTCTGTATATTTATCTTTTTAAAACAAAATTTGGAAGTTTCCTATCACGCATTCGTCAAGATATGGATGAAACTTTAACCTAAAAAAGTTAAAAGAGTGAACTTCATTGCTGACTGGTTGCTATCATTCTCCTTTAAGCGACAATCCTATGTTTAACCTTTTGGTCCTATAATGTGACATTTCCATACTACCACCTTCCCACGGCCGGCCAATGTACTGCATGTTGACCAACGGATAGCACCTTTATTTGTAATAATTATGTAAATTTCCTCTGTTTTAAGTTTTTCTCGCAGCTTTTCTTCTGACATTGTTCAATTCTTCATTTCTCGACAGGTAAATCTTGCTTGCGAAGCAGAGATCTAGAATGGTACTTCTTTTGCCCTCGAGATAAGAAATATTCTCAGGGATCTAGAACAAACCGTGCTACTGATATTGGTTACTGGAAAACAACTGGAAAAGACAGATCCATTTTTCACAACTCTCAAACTGTGGGGATGAAGAAGACCCTTATTTTTCATTTAGGCAAGGCACCACATGGCTCTAGGACTGACTGGGTCATGTATGAATTCAGGCTCGAATCAAATGAATTGGTTACTGCTGGATACACACAGGTAATGCTGTCTTGGGAACTTCTTTATTTCAAATGTTAAAGCTAGAATGATTTAAGGATCAGTTTCTTTGTTGCATTATCTTATGTGAATGTTGCTTTTGATGAAATAACCATTTTAGCTTTAGCTCCCCATTTCCTGTAATCCTATATTTTATGTAACTGAGTAAATGTGTCCTTCCTGAAGTTTTTGTTGTGATCATATATAACCATAAGGAGATCCGTTGTTTTGATGAATCTAGCAGAGAGGGATGCAATATATGGATTTCTGTTCTTTTCTACGTTTTACATTTGAATCCGTGTTGGTGATATGGGCTAATTTTTTTTTCTTGTTTTCAGGATGCCTATGTTCTCTGCAAGATATTTCAGAAAAGTGGTCCCGGTCCAAGAAATGGGGAACAATATGGTGCACCATTTAATGAGGAGGATTGGGAGGATGTTACGGATACCGAGGATGTTGGTTCCTTTCCAAGTATCTTTCCATCTGAGAATGCTCATCTTTTTTGCTCTGTTCCTCAACAATCTGCTTCTTCTGAAGTTGTGTGGCCTTCCTCTATAATAAGTACATTTGAAGTTGGAGAACTATCCCATGTTCCAGAACCTTCAGGAGTTGGAGAATCTTCTTATATGCAATACAACTCTGAAGTTGGTGAATCCTCTTATGTGCCAAACCCTTCTTGTGATGACGGAATCCTATTAGAACAAGTGGAAGCGTATCTTAATAGTTCTCCAACTCATTCAGAAATTGCTAAAGGCGAGGTAGACTCTTGTTTATTTCTTGTAATGTTTTTGTTATACTTCCTTTTACAATGTAATTTATATAATTCTTTATTTGCTTCTACAGCATGTGTTAGATTCAGGATTTCTGCTTGAGGAGTTCATTTCAGAACCTGATACTGCCTTTCAGAATGTATATGACGATCTCGCTGATCCCCCCGTCCAGTCATTTTCGGAAACAACTGATGGAATTCTGCACTCTGACGCTACAGGCTGTGAATACACATTGCATAATGCATTAGCAGAATTTGTTGATTGGCAGTATATGGAGATTACTGATCTCAATTTTACAGGAGAAGGGAATCCTGCTGAGTTTGTTCATCCGGGAAATCATCGTAGTCTACTTGCCGATTATGCAAGTTCCTACTTTCCTGGTAACACTTGTGTTGAAAGTGTTACAGACACTTACGTTGAAAGTGTTACTGGCACTCATATGGTGAGTGAGTCACTGCAAACAGGATTTTGTTTCTCTGACCACTTTCTATCTATGTCTGAGGTATTTTTGAAACATCAGGTGTACTTTGATAATGCCTTGAGATTCCACTATTTTTAAGCTGCCTTTTCTGTTCTGTCGATAGGATCATGATCTGCATGAAGGGGAAAATGGTGAAGGAAAATCTCTGCACGGTTCTACTTTAGGAAGTTAGGAAGTAAGAATGCTCTGATTGGATGCATGAAAATGTGGACTTGAGATCAGCGTCTGGATTTGCATTTTCCCCTGTATTTGGTTGTCGAGATCACGATCTGCATGAAGGGAAAAACGGTGAAGGCAAATCTCTGCATGATTCTACTGAGCAAGTTGGTAAGAAAGAAGCGTTCTGACTTGATGCATGATAATGCGGACTTGAGATCAGCATCTGGACCTGAATTTTTCCCTGTATTTGGTTGTCAGGGAAAAATCTAACCTAGTTAGGACTTTATTTCTGCTTACTATGAATAATATGTAAACCTATGTCAGCTTCATGCGGATAATTGATGTTGAATTTCAAAGTTCTACCCGGTTGGATTTTGATTTTATCAGTATAAAAATGTTTGTTTGCCTTTTTTTACCCCTTTGGCTCATAGGATCATGCTTTCTGTTGTGATTCATTTGATAAGTTATCAGTTGCAGAAATCTTATGTTACGTGCCTATCTAAGACTGTTGTTCTTCATCTCAGTGCGTAGCCTTACCTTCTTACTTTGCATATTCCATATAATTTTGCAATGACTTACCACATGATTCTATAATTAGGATCATGCTTAATCATGAGATTCCGATTCATCCTCTCATACGTCGACTACCACAAATCCCCTTCGTTGCCTCCTACGGTTTTGCGCTTCCAACAAAATCTGAAACAGAGAGCGGAGGGGGAAAAAAGGACACCTCTCCCCTGCCCTCTCTTTTCCTCCCCCATTCCAACGAAAACAATGGCGCCAAGCAAAATCCAGAAGGCAATAGGCTCAGTCAAGGACCAAACAAGTATCGGCCTGGCCAAGGTAAGCAACACAGGCTCCTCCATCTCCGACCTCGAGGTTGCCATCGTCAAGGCCACCCGTCACGACGAGTACCCGGCTGAGGAGCGCCACATACAACAAATCCTGAGCCTGACGAGCTACGCACACAGGTACATCAGCCAGTGCGTGTGCTTTCTCTCCCGCCGCCTGAGCCGGACCCGAAGCTGGACAGTTGCCCTCAAGACCCTAATCCTCGTCCACCGCCTCCTCTGGGATGGCGATGCTGCCTACGAGCAGGAGATCTTCTTCGCAACGAGGCGAGGGACGAGGATGCTGAACCTGTCAGAGTTTAGGGACACGTCGAGGTTGGACGCATGGGATTTCTCGGCATTTGTGAGGACCTATGGGAGGTATTTGGATGAGATGCTGGAGTTTAGGATGCATGGAAAGAGGGGGAGGGGGAGGAGTAGGAGCAGGAGTCAGGAAATGCATGGGGAGACTTTGGTCATGGATGAGGAGGGGAGGGAGATAGAGAAGGCCATGATGGCGGTTCGCAAGATTCCCGAGACGCAGTTGAAAGATATGAGGACGGAGAAGATCTTTACCTGGACTCATCATCTGCAGCAGCTGCTTGATCGATTTCTTGCTTGCAGACCCACCGGTAATTTTCAAATCCTTTGCTGCATTTTTGGATACTGTTCATGGCAGTACATAGTTCATCTCTTCAATTGCAGTTCATGTTTTGATTGTGACTTACTCCAAATTTAAGCATCTGTTTGGCAACATTCCAAAATGAGACCAAGATTGATTTTGGTCCCATTTTGGGAATAACCTTGTTTTGATCCGCCTTTTTATTAAAAAAGAAGAGTTGCGAGGATCAAAGTCCTGCTTGGTCTAATTTTGAGGAGTTTGCCGAACTGATCCTAATACATATCATATCTTCGCCTTATTTACTTGTCGATGATTATAAATGATGGTTATAATTTGTTTTGAGCGAAAATTTGACTATTATGATAGATTTAGAATGAATCACATATTGAGATTGAAACTGAAGAAATAGATTGAGTTTTGACAAATAGAAAGCAGTCCGAGTCTCTAATCTACCTCTGTGACTGACTGTAAACTAAACACTTGTAGGTTCCGCTAAGAACAATCGCATTGTAACGGTAGCCCTCCATCCCTTGCTACGAGAGAGCTACCAGCTGTACTACGACCTTCAAGAAGCAATTGACATCTTCTTGGACCGGTTCATGGAACTTGAGATCCGTGATTGCGTCCGAATCCAAGAAATCTTCAGCCGTCTCTCCAAGCAATTTGACGAGCTCGACCGCTTCTATTCATGGTGCAAGTCCTCCGGAATCTCCCGTTCCTCAGAGCTTCCCAACATTGAGAAAATCACCCAGAAGAAGCTTGACGTCATGGATGAGTTCCTCCGTGATCGATCCAACCTCAGCAAGAAACCTTTCAAGAACTTGGAACAGCTAACTAACGAGGAAGATGAAGCCCGAAGAAGAGCAGAAGAACTCGCCCGTCAGTCTTCGGTCAAGGCATTGCCAGAGCCCGAACCCGAACTGGAGCTGAAGCAAGAAGAAGTTGTGGCAGAGGAGGAAGAAGTATCAGGACCTCTAGCTATCGTCACGGTTGAAGAAGAAGTAGATTTCTTGAATATGAGAGACGATGCTGTGACTGTCGAAGACCGTGGTGATGACCTTGCACTTGCATTGTTCGAGGGACACACAGCACCGACGACATCGGCACCTGTTTGGGAAGCGTTCACCGACGACACGGCGGATTGGGAGACCGCGCTCGTGCAGTCAGCGAGCAACCTCTCAGGCCAAAAAGCTGTTCTCGGCGGCGGATTCGACCTTCTGTTGCTTGATGGAATGTACAGCCAGCCTCCTAACAGGACGATGATGGGCTTTTGGGAAGGCGCAGGGAGTGCGAGCAGTGTCGCGTTGCCGAAGGCCACACCGATGCTTGCACTGCCAGCGCCTCCGACAGCAAGCGGAGGAGGGGAGGTTACAGGCGGAGACCCGTTTACAGCATCGCTATCAGTACCGGCCCCATCGTACGTGCAGATGGCGGAGATGGAGAGGAAGCAGAGTTTTCTATGGGAGGAGCAGGCGATGTGGCAGCAGTATGCTGCGAATGGGATGCAGGGACAGGTAAGCTTGCAGCAAACGCAGCATTATGGCATGTATCCTGGTGGTGGTTACTATCAGAGTTTTTGAGTACCGTGTGTATCTGCTGCAATGTTTCCAGTGAGAAGGGCGCATAATTGCAAAACCAAGATAATAATGTGAAGCCAATCGTCCATGCTTGTGCTCATCCAGTGTAAATAATCTCCAGTGCAAATATGTCTAACATAAGACTCAAGCTATACCTTATATATATTGTGGATCTTTGTTATTGATTGCATCCTTCACTATGCAATATGTACTGAGGTTCATATTGGCAGCGTTCGAATTTGCCTGCGATATGTGATACAGCGCTATTCTTTGTACCACCAAACACTGTACATATTGGTTGTATCGTTAACTTCGGTGGCAAATGGATCACATTTTCGGTGGGCTTTGTATCTCGGGGCCGTTCTCGGCTAATTCCCATATAAATGCCCACCGAATTGACCATGTTTACTTTCAGAATCTTTCGGTAAAGAATGCTATCACGCAAACTTCTATTGAACATTGGATGCAGTTAGGGATGACAAAATGGACCCAAAACCAATTGTCCACCCATACCCACCCGCCAAATAAACCATCCAAACCCACTCATTTAATTAAATGGGCTATAAATGGGTGGGTATAGTTTCTATTAAAGATAAATGGGTGGGTTATTATTACCCACCCATTTGCCCATTTAGATGAATATTGTTTTAAAAACGCCCTCAACGTTTCAACAATTACAAACCTTGTTTTTAAAAGTTAAAAATTATAGAAAACATTTAAAATGACTAACAACCCCTTAAATTTTGAGATTTGCAAAAAACACCCTTAAAGTTTAAAATATTATAAAAACGTCCTCAAGAGTTAAAAATTATAAAAAAGCCTATCAAAATTTTCTAACCTCACAGATGACACATGAAATTCAAAAATTAGCAACAGCCCCTTGAAATTTTATAATTTGTAAAAAATACCCTTAAAAGTTGTAGAAAATAAGAAAAACACCCTCAAGACTTAAAAATTACCAAACAATCTTAGGATTTTCTAAACTTGCAAATGACACATGAAATCTAAAAAAATTCAATATGTCCCCTATAAATTTAAAATTTATAATTAACACCCTCAAAGTTTTAAATTTTTAGAAAAACACCATCCATAGTTTAGAATTACAAAACCATCCTAAAATTTCAAAACCTACAAATGACACATGAAATCCAAAAATTACTAGCAGCCCCCTGTAAATTTATAATTTACAAAAAGCACCCTCAAAGTTTAAAAATTGCAAAAAGCACGCTCAAGAGTTCAAAACTACAAAACAATCTTAGAATTTTCTAAACTTGCAAATGACACATGAAATCTAAAAAATTTCGGTAGTCCCCTATAAATATCGAATTTGCAAATAACACCCTTAAACTTTTAAAAATTGTAAAAAACACCCTCAAGGAATTCCTTTTGGTAGTCCCCTATAAATATACGCTTATTCACCTTCACAGGTTCACTAAAATTACATTCCGTGTATTCTGCTTTACTTCCACTAATTCTATTAATGATAAGCAACTGCTATGTTTAATAAAATTATACAAAAGGTGATCCTAGGAATTCCTTTTGGTAGTTATTGTCCATATGCTGTCAATATGTAAACATATGGGATTGATGTAGTAATTTGAGAACTTGCATGCATAATCTCATAGTATATGACATTATGAAATCATAGTCGGGATTGATGTAGTAATTTGAGAACTTGCATGCATAATCTCATAGTATATGACATTATGAAATCATAGTCCAATCTGTACCCACAGGCTAAATGCTGTGACATTATGAAATCATAGTCCAATCTGTACCCACAGGCTAAATGCTGAAGAGTTAATCATATGTGATAGCTTAATAATGTTTATCTGCAGTTGGCAAATCCCCACAAAAGAGATTTTCCCAAGTAGTCGATTCAACTGAGAAAGAAATATTTACAGAAAACCCCTGAAAGTTTACAGAAAACCCCCTAAAAATTTACAAAAAAGCCCCTAAAAGTTTACAGAAAACCCCCTGAAAGTTTGCAGAACCCCCCCTGAAAATTTGCAGAAGCCCCCCTGAAAATTTACAGAAAACCGCCTGAAAGTTTGCAGAAAACCCCCTGAAAGTTTGCAGAAAACCCCCTGAAAGTTTGCAGAAAACCCCGTGAAAGTTTGCAAAAAACCCCCTGAAAGTTTACAGAAAACCCCCTGAAAGTTTACAGAAAACCCCTTAAAAGTTTGCAAGTAGATCCCTGAAACTTACATATATATAGAAGCATCATAATCATAACTAAATGGGTTATTGAGTCACCCATGAACCACCCATTTAGTAAATGTGTGGTTAAGAAGTGATCCATTTAGCAAATGCTAAATGAGTCATAAATGGTCAAGTGGTCATAAATGTGCCTACCCATTTAAGACCTAACCAAGACCCAATCAAAACCACCCATTTGACATCCCTTGATACAGTTAAGAGTGAAGACTGCTTTTTAAGATTCATTTTAGCAGATAGACCCCATTGTTAAATTTATTTTACTCTTGCGGTGGGTTAATTTTTGCAAATATTGCCCTTGGGTGAAAGTAGTGAGCCTATCTTAGGTCAAAGTAGAAAATTTCACTGTTGGTTCCGCCAAAATGAACCTATAGAGGGTAGCAAATTCAAAACAGCAATTGCACATGGGATCTATGTGCAACTAACCATTAGTTAAATCGTGGCGTAACCTAAAATGCATAGGACCTTACGAGTTTTATTAAAACCTGACTTGCTTTGATTCTTTGACCGAACCAATTAAAGTCTGTTGGAGGAAAGATGATCGGTCTGATGGCAACGAGACATAAATTATATGAAGAGATCTATAGTTATATTAAAGATTGCTTTCGAATATATTTATAAGGAACTATGGATACGACTAGTACTTGCAAAAACACACGTATTTTGTAATTTCAAGATTGAAGTAGGTAATTTTTGCATTTGAGCTTGTTCATGTCAGTAAGTTAATCTCGGGATTAAGTAGGGACTAATAGGAATTAGGGGGTCTTTGATCTTCTATGATGTCTGATCAAATAGAAAAAGGTAGACCCCTGCACAAATAGCAAACATTAGAAGCTCTGAAAGGAGGTTTACTCCGGCATATGCTCTCCGACGATCAAGCTAGTGACATCGAATCAATGTAAAGAAGATTAGATTGGATCTAAGGTTTAGAGAGTTTAGGCCTAAGAATGGTGAAGATCTCTTATGTTTTATATGGGGCATCGAGAGTAGATTGGTAACTCGAATCGACTGGTGGAAATGGTACTTTATTTGTGTTCTACATTTGTTAATGATTGATCGGGCAATATTGTGAGAGTCGCCCATGCTACATTTAATGTGATAGTGACAAAACTACTAGGTGTGTGCCATCCGAGGTGTCATTATCTCATCTGACATGTATTTATTGTGATGGTGACTGGGTGGCAAAGTATAGGCGATGCTCAAGAAGTTATCATCATGCCTAGTCCAGTATTACATGTGGATGCCTTCAACGAGGCGGTCGGACACCCACTTGACTTGTGACATATGCTCTCTGATGGGGTTTGGCTCGAGGATGCCACATGATCCGGATTGGGATTATTAGAAGGATTGAACAATTTAGTCAAATTGCAGTTATACTGAGATGAGTCTCCAATTATATGACCTAACACTCTTGACACGTGGTCGGTTCTTAGGGGTTCATTAAATTCATGATTTCAAGGTATAACATTGGCCCCTTTCACACAAATTAGAAAGCCAAGTTCAAGAGAAAATTGAACCACTTCATCTTCACCATCCCTCGGGGATTCAGATGGGCATGGGTAGTGCATTCTCGTCAGTAAAGATTTCATGCCTTGGTCTTTAGGAGGGGGGCTTCGGTTATCGAGATATGATAGCAGAGTTTTAGGGATCTGACATTGTCAGTTCAGATCCATCCGTGTCAGCTATTGGAGGTTTGTCAGCTTTATAAAATGCCTTTCCCCTTGCTCCTTTGCCTTTGCGCTTTTCGAGTTTTTAAAAAACCATATAAATTTCTGTTCTCTGAATCTTTGGCGTTCCAACCACTTTTACCAAGTTCCCTTGATGGCTTCCAACTCGCAGTCATCTCTAGCTCATGGCGAGGTGAGGACGGTGCTCCTTCGCAAGTAAACGTTGATAGTATGTTAAGGTGATCTCTAGACTTGGATGAGAGGTCATGATATCCCCGATTTATAGGGTATAAATGATAATCAAAAGTTACAAGTGCACTACTATTAAGTTATAGTATAAAAAGTTATCGATCCCACGAGGAAGGTGTTGTAGGTATTAATCTAAATCGGTTCGTATGTTGTGTGTAAAAAATTAGAAGTGATGTAAGTGTGTGATTGAGGATAGGTATGAGGAGTGATTATGAATATATGCAAGTAAAGAAAATAAAATGAAGTTGAGAAGAGAGAAGGAATCAAAGAAAATAAAGAGAAAAGTAAGTAATGAAAAATCAAGAACAAGAGAAAATTCAAGTAAGTAAAGATGGATGATTCAATTAAAGATATGAGTAATCTAGAATTGAATCTATTAGCTAATTTCAATTATAAATTATGGACCATTCTCTTTCTATCACATTTTACTTTATATTTATTAAGTACAGACTATCAAACCACTTAAGGAAAGCATAACGTATGAAATTATCATCTAAGCAAAATTAACATTCATGATAAGAACAACAACTAGATAGTAATTTTAGAATTCATAAGCATAACCTATAAAACCACTCAAAATAAGCATAGATTATTAAATTCTTCTTCTACGAATTAGTTCTCTAGTTGATTATCCTATACATGATTATTTTAAGCACAAGAGAATAATTCACAAGCTATAAAAGAAATTAGGCTAGTTTCATATAATTCTAGAATTCCTACAAGAATTAGTTCTACATCTTAGAAAATAAAAACAAGACATAAAATCTATACAAGAGAAGAATAAAAGAAAAGAGTGAAAATAAAAACTGATTACAAAGAAGAGAAATGAGAACAAAGAAATTTACACTATGAACATAAAAATAAATCTAACTAAGTTGTAGAAGAAATGAAAATCTAGATTATGCAAGAAAATAAATCTACTCTACAAATTAAAAGTGCAAGACAATAATGAAAAAAAAAATAAACAAAAGAATATAAATCTACTCTACAAGACATTAATGTAAATCTATACTACTAAAATAAGAAGAAAAAAATTTACTACAAAAGAAATAAAAACAAAAGAGAAAAGTTACATTAAAAGAGGGTTTTAGCCTCATGAAAGCAAACCTTCAACTTAATCTTCATTTTATAAATTTGGAAGGTCTTCTCAATTAAGAGTAACCATCATCTCTAAATGGAGTTTCTACAAAATTTTTTACC